GTTCTCCAGGGGGTGGGAGAGCGACTCTGGGGGGGACGGAGAGCTTCTCTGGGGGATGCGAGAGCTTCGCAGCTCCCCTCCATGGGCCACGGCTGCTTTCAGCCCCTGGGGAGGAAGGGGGAGGCAAATCGTGTCCCCTCTCCCGGTGTCACAGCTTTGGGGGACTTTGAGACCCCCTTGCAAGGGCAGGGGAGCTCAGCCATGCCCCCCCAGTGCAATTCGATAAGGCGGTGGCAATCCAAGGGTTGGACCCAGGAGGTTTCTGGCTCATGGGCTCCGTGCGGGGATTCGGGGGGTGGGTGGGTGGGTGGTTGTGGCTGTGCAGGGACAATTGGATGGACCTATCCAGGGAAGGATGGTTGGGTGGGTCCACAGAGGTGGGACTGTCCAGGGATCAGCAGGTGGGTGAAGGGATGGGTGGAGGGACAGGTATCTAGAAGGATGGGTGGCTGGGTCTGTCCTGGGATGGATGGATGGAGGGATGGATGGATTGAGGAATATCTAGAAGGATGGGTGAGTATCTAGAAGCATGGGTAGATGGCTGGGTCTGGCTGGTGATGGATGGATGGATGGAGGGAGGGAGGGATGGAGGGATGGATGGATATCTAGAAGGAAGGGTGTTTGGGCCTGGCCAAGGAGGGAAGGAGAGGTAGATGGGTATCTAGGAGGGTGCATGGATGGGTGGGTCTGGCTGGAGATGGATGGATAGATGAAGAGATGGATGGATAGGTGTCTAGAAGGATGGGTGGATGGCCAGGTCTGGCCAAGGGTGGAGATAAGTGGATGAATGGACATGGAACAGGATGGGTGGATGGTTGGGTCTGGCCAGGGATGGATGGGTATGTAGGCATCTGCATGGATGGGGTGGCCAGAGCTGGCTGGACGAAGGACAGATGGATCTACCCCCTTGGTGAGGCGTGGATGAGGAAGTGGCTCCATGGGTTCATCCTGCATCGGCCGGATCCCCAGTCGCGCTCCCCAGCTCTGCCCTTTTCCTGCCCGCTCCCCGGCGCTGCCCCAGAGCCGTCCTTCCTGCCGCGCCGAAGACAAAGAAACAAAGACCAAATAAACCCAGCAAACCTCCAAATCCCTGCCTGCAGGTGCCGGGTGCCGCGTGCCGTCTCGGCCCAGTGCCTGCCACTCCCGTGTGGGGCAAGCCCAGTCCTGACCAGTGCCAGGTGGATCCAGAGCGGCAGGTGGAGATGCGGCACGGCAAGGCACAGACTCTGGATGGGTGGCCTGATCCTGATCTGGGGGGGGATCAGGTCCTCGGTCCAGCTGCTCAGGGCGCAGCCTGGGTTTTAGACAGAAACACGCTAAATGTTTCTTTTTTGGTGGGTTTTTCCCCGTTTTGAGGGCAGGGTTTTGTACAGAAGGCAGGAGGTCACAGAGAGCAGGGGCTTGGGGACGTGGGCTTAGGGATGCAGGCTGGTGACATGGGGCTGGGGACACGGGCTTGGGGATGCCGACTTGGGGATGTAGCTTGGGGACATGGGTTGGGGACAAAGGGTGGGTGCACGGGCTTGGGGATGCAGGTTTGGGTTGTAGGTTGGGGTAATGGGGCTGGGGATGCAGGCTTGGGGACACAGGCGTGGGGACACAGGCGTGGGGACACAGGCTTGGGGACACGGGCGTGGGGACACGGGCGTGGGGATGTAGATTGGGGATGTCAGGCTGGGGACATGAGCTGAGGAAGGGTTTGGGGTCGTGGGACAGGACATGAGTGGGGATGTGGGTTTGGGGACATGGGGCTGGGGACAGGGCTTGGGGACGCAGGCTTGGGAACATGGGCGTGGGGACACAGGCTTGGGGATGTAGATTGGGGATGTTGGGCTGGGGACATGAGCTGAGGAAGGGTTTGGGGTCGTGGGACAGGACATGAGTGGGGATGTGGGTTTGGGGACATGGGGCTGGGGACAGGGCTTGGGGACGCAGGCTTGGGAACATGGGCGTGGGGACACAGGCTTGGGGATGTAGATTGGGGATGTTGGGCTGGGGACATGAGCTGAGGAAGGGTTTGGGGTCGTGGGACAGGACATGAGTGGGGATGTGGGTTTGGGGACATGGGGCTGGGGACAGGGCTTGGGGACGCAGGCTTGGGAACATGGGCGTGGGGACACAGGCTTGGGGATGTAGATTGGGGATGTTGGGCTGGGGACATGAGCTGAGGAAGGGTTTGGGGTCGTGGGACAGGACATGAGTGGGGATGTGGGTTTGGGGACATGGGGCTGGGGACAGGGCTTGGGGACGCAGGCTTGTTGGGGACGTGGGGCTGGGGACCTGCGCTGGGGACACGCCATGGGGACTCACCCTCTGCCCCATGCCGGAGCGCGAGCCAGGGGGGTTTCACCCCCGGGCCGGGAGCGGGGCTCAGGGTGCTGATGGGGAGGGGGGGCACCGGCCCCAGCCCCCCTTGCACCCCTCGCACCCCTCGCAATCCCTCCAGTGGGCAGGATCTGGCCCCTGGCCCTGCAGCGAGGCCCGCTGGATCCCAGCGGATCCCAGTGGATCCCGGCTGCTCCGAAGGGGTTAAGGAGAAGCAGGTGCTGCTTTCCTGGGGCTGGAGGCCCTCCCATCCCGCTCTCCTCCCCCAGCTCCTGGATATAAACCCGGAGCTGCTCACCCCGCCCTGGATCCGTCCTCCCTCAACCCGTCCTGCCCGTCCTGCCTGTCCTGCAACCAGCCTCCTGCCTGTCTTGCAACCCTGCCCATCTTCCGACCCTCTTGCAACCCTCTTGCAACCCTCTTGCAACCTTCTTGCCCAGCTTGCCACCTTCTTCCAACCCTCTTGCCCACCTTCCAACCTTCTTGCCCACCTTCCAACCTTCTTGCCCACCTTCTGACCCTCTTGCCCACCTTCCAACCTTCTTGCCCACCTTCTGACCCTCTTGCCCACCTTCTGACCCTCTTGCGCACCTTCCAACCCTCTTGCCCACCTTCCGACCCTCCTGCCCGCTCAGCATGTCCACCACCATCACCAGGAAGACTGTGAGAAGCAGCTCGGCCGTACCCGGCCGTTCCTTCAGCTCCCACTCCTACACCGCTGGGCCCGGTGTGAGGATGAGTACGGCTTCAGCCTTCGGTGGCTATGGTGGGAGCCGCTACGGAGCTGGGTTGTACAGGGGTCCGGCCGTCGTGCCTGGGACAGGGGGTGGCATCACGGCCGTGAGTGTCAACCAGAGCCTCCTGACGCCCCTCAACCTGGAGATCGACCCCAGCATCCAGCGGGTGCGGAAGGAGGAGAAGGAGCAGATCAAGACGCTCAACAACAAGTTTGCCTCCTTCATCGACAAGGTGGGCTCGGGCTGGGGGGAGACCCCGCGGGGAGAGGGCTGGGACCCCCCTGGGGACCTCCTGAGACCCTTGGGGATCTCCCGGACCCTTCAGGCACACCCTGAGCTCCTTGGGGACATTGAGACCCCCTCAGGGACCTCCTGAGCCCCTCAGGGACCTCTTGGCCCCTTTGGGTACATCCTGAGCCCCTCAGGGATGTTGAGACCCCCTCAGGGACCTCCTGAGCTCCTCGGGGACCTCCTGGCCCCTTTGGGTACATCCTGAGCCCCTTGGAGATGTTGAGATCCCCTCTGGGACCTCCTGGGCCCCTCGGGAATGTTCTGACCCCTTCAGGCACATCTTGACCCCCTTGGGGACATTGAGACCCCTTTGGGGACCTCCTGAGACCCTCGGGGACCTCCTGGCCCCTTTGGGTACATCCTGAGCCCCTTGGGGACATTGAGACCCCTTTGGGGACCTCCTGACCCCCTCGGGGACCTCCTAAGCCCTGTGGGGACATTGACACCACTTTGGGGACCTCCTGGCCCTTTGGGGACCTCCTGACCCCCTCAGTGACATCCTGGCCCCCATGGGGACACCCAGACCTCCTTGGGGACCTCCTGATCCCTTTGGGCACATTTGCCCCCCCCTTGGGGACATCCAGACACCCCTGGGGACACCCTGACTCCTTTGGTTACATTTTGGACCCCTTGGGGACCTCCTGGCCCCCTTGGGGACATCCATCCCCCCTCAGGGACACCCAGACCCCCTTGGGGACACCCTGAGCCCCCTGGGGACATCCAGACCCTCTTGGGGACACCCGGACCCCTTGAAGCACATTTTGGCCCCCTTGGGGACATCCAGACCCCCTTGGGGACACCTGGACCCCTTGGGACACATTTTGGCCCCCTTGGGGACATCCAGACCCCCTTGGGGACACCCGGACCCCTTGGGGCACATTTTGGCCCCCTTGGGGACATCCAGACCCCCTCGGGGACCCCCTGGGGATGCGCAGCCGGCTGTGGGGACACCCTGGTCCCCTCCCACTGCTGGGGGCCAGGACATGGCGGCCGAGCCGGCGGGCAGGGAGTGTCACCGGGGCAGGAGCTGGGCCGGGCCGGGGTGGGGGCGAGCGTTGTCCCCCTGGGGTGCGATGGGGGAACCCCCCCATGGAGGAAGCAGCCAGTGCTGGGGTGGGTGCCCCACGCCCCAGCGGCACCCAGCACCCTTCCTCCCCAGCACCCGCTTCCGGGTGCTCCGCTGGGGTCGGGCTCCTCGCCCCGTCGTGGGCTGGGGGGCCCAGATGGGAGGGGGGGGGAACGGGGATGGTCCCAGACGGGGGTGGGGGCACCCCAGATTGCAGCCGGCACCCCAGGTTTGCACCCCCGATTCAGCAACCCCAGACTTGCACCCCAGAACCCCAGATTGCACCTGGGACCCCAGATTTGCACCCAGACTTGCACCCCAGCACCTCAGATTTCACTCAGGACCCCAGATTTGCACCCAGACTTACACCCCAGCACCCCAGATTGCACCTGGGACCCCAGATTTGCACCCAGACTTGCACCCCAGCACCCCAGATTGTACCCGGGACCCCAGATTTGCACCCCAGATTGCACCCAGGACCCCAGACTTGCACTCCAGAGCCAGTGACCTCAGGCTTGCACCCCAGACTTGCACCCTGGGACCCCAGGTTGCACCTGAGAACCCAGGCTTGCACCCCAGAACCCCAGGAGTGCCCCAGGACCCCCAGGCTTGCGCCCAGGACCCCAGACTTACTCCCCAGCACCCCAGAAGCACCCCAGATACAGTTTGCACCCCAGGAACCCAGAAGTGCACCCAGGACCCCCAGGCTCGCACCTGGGACCCCAGACTTACACCCCATAACCCCAGGAGCACCCCTGACCCAGTTTGCGCCCCATGATCCCAGAATTGCACCCAAGACCCCATGACTTGCACCTGGGACCCCCAGATTTGCACCCAGGACCCCAGCCTTGCCCCCTGCCACCCTTCTCACCCACCTCACCCTCTGCCCCTTGCAAACCAGCACCCAAGACCCCCCAGGCTTGCACCCAAGACCCCCCAGGCTTGTACACAGGACCCCAGCCTTGCACCCCTGATCTGGCTTGCACCCAGGACCCCAGATTTGCACCCAGGAGCCCAGATCTTCCCCCCCCTCACCACCCCACTCACCCACATCCCTCTCTGCTCCTTGCAAAGCAGCACCCAGCACCCCAGCCTTGCACCCAGGACCCCCCAGCCTTGCACCCCAGATCCGGCTTGCTCCCAGGACCCCAAATTTGCACCCAGGACCCTAGATCTGCCCCCTGCCACCCCACTCACCCTCTGCCCCTTGCAAAGCAGCACCCAGGACCCCAGATTTGCACTCAGGACCCCCAAATTTGCAGTCAGGACCCCAGCCTTGCCCCTACCACCCCTCTCACCCATCTCACCCTCTGCCTCTTGCAAACCAGCACCGAGCCCCTAGGCTTGTACCTAGGACCCCAGCCTTGCACCCCTGATCCAGCTTGCACCCAGGACCCTAGATCTGCCCCCTGCACCCCACTCACCCTCAGCCCCTTGCAAAGCAGCACCCAGGACCCCAGTCTTGCTCCCCAGATTTGCACCCAGGACCCCAGCCTTGCCCCCTGCCACCCCACTCACCCACCTCACCCTCTGCCTCTTGCAAACCAGCACCCAGGACCCCCCAGCCTTGCACCCCAGATCCGGCTCGCTCCCAGGACCCCAAATTTGCACCCAGGACCCTAGATCTGCCCCCTGCCACCCCACTCACCCTCTGCCCCTTGCAAAGCAGCACCCAGGACCCCAGATTTGCACCCAGGACCCCAGCCTTGCCCCCTACCACCCCACTCACCCACCTCACCCTCTCCCCCTTGCAAACCAGCACCGAGCACCCATCCCCACGACCCGCGCGGGGTGCCAGGGTGGGATTCCCGGGGTGGGGGTGATGCTGTGCCCCCCCAACCTCTGTCCCCCGCCCCAGGTGCGTTTCCTGGAGCAGCAGAACAAGATGCTGGAGACCAAGTGGAGCCTCCTGCAGAGCCAGAAGACCACCCGCAGCAACATGAGCGGGCTCTTCGAGGCGTACATCGCCAGCCTGCGCCGCCAGCTCGAGGGCCTGGGCCAGGAGCGCCTGCGCCTGGAAGCCGAGTTGGGCAACATGCAGGGGCTAGTGGAGGAGTTCAAGAACAAGTCAGTCCCGTCCCCGCGTCCAGGATGAGGCCGGGGCTGGCAGGGTTGCACCCCCGCTGCTTGTGTCCCTCCTAGGGTGGTTGGGGATGTGTGGCGGTCCCCCTCGGTGGCGGCTCCGTCTTGGGGCGCAGCGTCCCACCGTGGCCCCGAGGGTGGCTGAGGGTGCCGGGCTGGGGCTGGAGCGGCCCCTCTGGCCGTCACGGGGGTGGCTTTGCCCAGGGAGGGTGGCTCTTCTGCTGCAAGGGGTATCCTGGTGGGTGGGACCCTGTGTCCCTGCATCCCTGTGTCCCCGCATCCCTGTGTCCCCATGTCCCTGTGTCCCCATGTCCCCATGTCCCTGCATCCCTGTGTCCCTGCATCTGTGTCCCCATGTCCCCCATGTCCCTGCATCCCTGTGTCCCCATATCCCTATGTCCCCCATGTCCCTGCATCCCTGTTTCTCCATCTCCCCATGACCCCATGTCCCTGCATCCCTGTGTCCCCGTTATCCCTATATCCCCCATGTCCCTGCATCCCCATGTCCCCAGGATCCTGCATCCCTGTCTCCCCTCTCCCCAAATCCCCATATCCCCATGTCCCCGCATCCCCATGTCCCTGCATCCCTGCAGCCCTGTCCCCCTCTCCCCAAATCCCCATATCCCCATGTCCCTGCATCCCTGCAGCCCTGTCCCCAAATCCCCATATCCCCACGTCCCCCCACCCCCAGCTCCAAGCCCTCCCCTCTTCCCCAAGGTACGAAGAGGAGATCAACCACCGCACCGACAAGGAAAATGAGTTTGTTCTGCTCAAAAAGGTGAGGGGGGGCTCTGGGTCTGGCAGGGGTTGGGCAGGGGGGGCCGACGGGCAGGGGACAGACTGACGGGCAGGGGACTGACGGGCTGCCGGCTCTGCCCGCAGGACGTGGATGAAGCCTACATGAACAAGG